CATCACATTTTTTTCGAAAAAGATTATTGCGAATAAATAAAAAATAAATCAATAAATATATGAAAATAAATAACAATCTAATACAAACGAAAAAGAATTCTGTTGAAATATTTTGTGTCAATTTTTTTGTTGTTTTTTCTTTGATTTTTATCACTTTTTATCACAAATTTCATATAAATATTATGATGAGAAAAAAATATGTATGAATCGATAAATATTGTTATTTAATATTTTGTTGTTGAAGTAAGAAGTTAACGAAAATTTGAAGAAAAAAAGATATTTGAGATATTTTTGGCACAATGAAATGATATTTTTAGAATAAGAAAAATCAATTTAATTGTTGTCGTAAATGTTGTTTATGTTGACCAAAAGATATGGCTAAAATAAGCCTATTTGATGAATTAACCAGCCGGCATTTTAAGGGTTCTTAATTAACTTCAACAGAATTTTTTTTGAAATCGACAAATTGGAGGATAAAAATTAAAATTTTAAATTGGAAAACATTTTGAAATTTATAGCCTCAAATAAATGTTAATACTATTTTCGCACTTCTAATGTGATTTAAATTGTAAAATATATTAAAATAAATTTAATAGCTGAATAAATGTTTAAAGAAATTTTTGTAAATAAGAAACTCTGAAGAATAACTGGCTATTTTCAATTTAGATAGTCAAAAAAATTGAAATAGAATTAGATATTAGACTAGATTTTGGAATCAACAAGAATTTACAGGAATTAAAACAGTGTTTCAAAAAATAGAATAAGTTTAAAAAAAAACGAAATTGAAAATGATTTTTAACCCAAATTAAAGTGAATAAAATTTCAAAAAAAAAATGCCAGTAAATTGAGATTCAAACGACCCAAAGTCTAAAATAAATGGTGAGATTTATTGCCTTTTAATTAAATTTCTAAGCAAATTTATGTTTGAAATATTTACAAATAAATTATTATAGGAATAGAATAGCTCATTAAGAGATTCCTCTTACAAAATAGTTCAGAATTACAAATAAAATGTTCAATTTAAGCAGATTAGAACAAAATTTTCAATAAATCCATAAAATAATTAGCAAAACTAGTTCATTTGAACAGAAAAAAAAAATTAGAAATAATATAGAGTATTTTCTGGCAGACAGGAATAGAAAGATAAGCAATTTACTCATGCAAGATAAATTTATTAATTTAGACATGTATAACCTTAAGCCATAGTTTATTGTGTTCAAACATAATCATATTAAAATCATAAATAGTGAAAATATTTTCATTCAAATAGAAAATAACCAGCAGTAATATTTTCATGTGTAAAAATTATCAGCAATACATAATATTGAATTCACATGTAGAATAGACACAGAGTGAACTGGAAAATATTTTATTACAATAATTAAATAGATAGAAATGGAAATTTTAATGAAGATAAAAATTCTGTGTGTGCTACAAACTCATTGTATTGTGATTAATTTAATGAAATCGAACTCATCGAACAAATGGGTGAAATTTGAGTTTATTTGCTGTCTTTTAGAAAATGAACAAACTCAAGCCCGATAAAATCGAAATTGATAGATTTGCCTTTGAATCTTACAACTAACTCTAATGCGATATGCAGCCTCTTGCTTATCGTTTTTAATACATTCTTTACCTACTTCTATTATTGTAATCATTTTTGTTCTAATTTTCACTCATTCTTCAGAGATTCTAACCTTAAAAAATTCCCCACATGACAATTTGAATTATAATTTCTATAAAAACAGTTCAAATTTAAATAAAATTTTGATAAACAATCCAAATTAAGTTAAACCTAGATAGACACATCCAGCGAATAAAACAAGGAAAAAAAACAGTTAATGGATATTTCACATTGATTATAGATAGTAAAATTAGATTTATCCATTAGATTCATCTATTTAACCTACTCATTTGTTAAGTACAACATTAATCCATTCATCGTTCTAAATATAAAACATATACACACACAAAAATACAGCATAAAACCATGTTTCACTCAATGATTTCATTTCACTTCACTGATACACGATATTCACATAATATGTACTTATACACATTATTATTAATAGCATATAAATACACAAACATATACTAGAATATAGACAGATTTTAGTCAAACATTCATTATAGAGAGATTAGTTGGTTCAATGTTGTAATTCAATTAACTAATTATCGGTTTTCATAGCAAATATAAGTGAATGAGTGAGTGCGAAAAAGAAGACATAAATGAGCAAGTTTATTGAAATTGAAAACAAAACACAGCAAATTTTTTTTGGTGTGCTTTACACAATTTCTCGATAAAACAAAAGAAGCTTATTGCAATTTTAGACTTGTGTGTAATTGAAAATGCTGTTGCTCTTGTGGGAATTAATTGAAGTAGAAAATTATCGAATTAATTTGAAATTGATTTAATTATGTAGGATTGTGATATAATTTGATATTTATATGGGAGGAGAAGGATTGGTTTTGGAAGTTTTCAAAGAATATGAATTAAATTTAATAATTTTTGAATTTTTAAAAATTCTGATTGATTCCACATTCATTTATATTGCTATGAGACATAGATTTGATTTTTAACTAGTAGATTGTAAAAAAATCAATCCTCAAAATTTGCTTAATCGATACAATTGGTGTTTAATTTCTTAAATTGACAAATGAGCTGGTAAATTGAGTATGGAAGTTCCATGATTTGAAATGATTGTTTTGTTTCAGAAAAAAACCTGTTCAAATTGGTTCAAATAGAATCTATTTAAAACAAGGATCCAAAGTACTTTAAATTTTTTTAAAAAATTAAATTAAATTTTGTGTAGACACTTTAAAATCGACAGTCTCTAAAGTTCACAAATATAATGCATTCTAATTCAAGATTAATAATTTTTGAAAATTCATCGTCAATAAAAAATCTTGGATTGACCCCCATTTTTAAAACAACTATTTATACCTTTTACTAAGTTTTTCTTAATTCTTAAAGATCAGAAAAATTATTAAAAACATTCTTAGAAATGTCAATTTACATAATAAACTTTAAGTTTATTAAACAAATTTTAAAATAAGAATTTTAAAGAAATATTAACAGATCAAAAGAAACTTTTATGTACCTTAATTTCTATGAACTTATCAGAATTTATTAATTTTCCCAATCCTTTCTTCCCCTTGTCTCAACCATAAGACACCGCATCACTACTTTTATAATTTGGTATTTTCTTCTAGTTGTTCAATATTTGTCTATTTCTTCCAAGAGAATTATTTCCCGGTTCTAAACGCTCGCATTTTCGTGAACATTCCTTTCATCTTTTACATCATTTTCTATTTGTGTAAATTAAACAGCCAAAAATGTTTCTAAGAAAACAAGGCAAACAGAAGAAATTTAAGACATTTTATCTTAATTAATTTGGATGTTTGTTGTTATGTGGATTAAAGGTACCGGCGATGGTCGGAAATGAACTTTTATGAAGTAATTCAATTCAGATAATTATTAAAAAAATTTAAACATGTTTATTGAATATTGCTGGTTTTAATGATTTAGTATGCAGAAATTTAATTCAACTTTAAGACCAAACCAAAAACAAACCAAAAATAACTAAAGTTTAAATAATAATAAAACTCCCAAAAAATAAGAATTGTGGAAGCATAAAGAAAAGATATTTCAAATGACGGTAAACGTGCATACATAACACACAACCCAATAAATATAATAATACACACATATAGCTGAATAAAATCAAAATCATAGCATAACAAGTAAAAATAAGAATGAAGGAAAACAGAAACGTAGCTTGAGAAGGGAACAAAAAAATAATAATAATAAAATAGAGAAAATAAGAGACAAAAGATTTGTGTCGCCATTAAACTTATTTTTCCTCCTCATCTTTCGTCGTTTTTGCTGTTTTTTAGCGTGGTTATTGGGAAGTGGGATAAGGTGAGGTATGAGGTCACTTTTGAGATGGTTTGATGGGGATTGAACTGTTATTTGATGGAAAAAGAGCAAGACTGTCCTTTAATTTAATGATTTAGTGAAAAGTTTGAATTAGGGATTGAAAATTGACAATGATGACACTAGATCATTCAAGATATGTTTGATTATTTTCAAAAAAAGGCAAGTGGGGCTTGGCATAAGCTCTATACTAATCCCACGGTCCACACAGTGCGTTTTTCTACTTTCCCCATTAAACATTTTCACCAAACAACCAAGCCAAATCAAAAGCAATGAAGACGAAAGAATAACAAATGGAAAAAGTCACAAAAGTGAAATGAGTAGAAAAGAAGAAGAAAATGAGTAATGAATGGTAAAAGATGGGAGTGAGATAGACGATAGAAATCGATATTGTTTACAATAAACTTCATCGTCTTCTTCTTTCTGACTCTCATTTCCCATAAATATATTTTTTTTCTGCGTAACTCAAATCAACTTAACTCAAACTTAAATGAAAGGCAGAGAGTCAGGAAATGAAGATAACAGAAGAAGCAGAAGTTATATGGAGAGGAAAAATAAATGAGGAATTGAGCGATAAGGGAAAAAATTGCCGTGAAATTTTCATTTTCTTATTGAATTACAGCGCGTGATGTTTGATGGATTTTTAGATATATGCTGGTGATTTGTCAGTTGCTAGAAGGGGGTTTTGATTGATTTTTGATAAGGTTTGAATTTTTATTTTGAGGGAGTTTAAAATCGAATATAAAATCTCATTTTAGGTTATGTCGTTTTGAAATGATTTCAGATTACACAAAAATATGAATTTTTTCATTTTAAATTATCAACATACCCTCTTACTACATAATTCTTAATTTCAAATCGATTAAGCAAATTTTGATTATTGAAATTTTACACTTAGAACATTTTTTTCTACCAGAAAAACTCAATTTTATATAAACTTTTCGTGTGTTTGAATTTTTGTTTATTATTCAACTAATAGAACTTAATATTACTGTCATTACAATATTATAACAATTAATTAATATTTCAATTCCAAATTTCTTTTGTTTCTTCTCTCTTTTAGTGGATTTAAGTAATGGACAATTAACACCAAACAACAATACCCCTCTCCTCACTCAAGCGCTCTCAGGTGAGGTTATGTTAGGTATTTATGTTTTTTTATTTAACTTTTTTTATTTCTCTTTCTTCTTTGACTTTTATTTTTTGTTGAACAATTTTTTTTGTTGTTTTGAAACATTTTGTGTATTCAATTAATTTTTTTGTTTTTGCGTAGTTTTTTTCATATAGAATACATTTTGAAGCATTTGCATGAGGAAAATGAATTTTTTGATTTGACATAAAGGATTAAAGTTTTAAAAAAAATGAAATTAGAAAAAATTTAATTTCGTATTCAAAATTGATTGATAGTCAAAAAAAATGATTTAAAAATAAATTTTCAAAACTTAAAATTATTTTAATTAAAATTTTGATTCAATTAAAGAACATTTTATTCTTTCAAAAATTCAAAAAAAAAACAACCTTTTAATGCTTCAAAAATGTCCCTCAACTTTAATAAAACAAATAAAATTCCACATTCTGATTTTCTTTCAAATTATCATCCACAGTTATGAATAATTATCAAGCAGCAGCCGCGCAAGGTTACGGACCACCAACATCACCGCACGCAACAAATACAAGAACTGGATTCCCGGCAGCAAACTCACCCGGACCCACAATAGATATGTATAGTTCAAATGGAGGTGATAGTGTAAGCTACGTGCAAGCGACAAGTCCACAACCATCAGGCTTTCCTGCTATTGCTGTCAGTCGCGCGCCACTTAATTACAGTCCTGTGAGTGTCTCTAAATACTTTAATTCAATGAATTTTATATGTCAGGGCATCTTTAATTCCAACTGAAGGAGTTTAGTTTTAATGAAAATGGCATTTTATGACTCTCTAAAGACATTTCCGACATGTCTATTGTCCATTTATATAAAACATTGTATGTCTGCATGCCCTTGCGGACTCTACATACGATGATGTTGATGATAAAGTTAATGAAAATTATTTTTATTTCTATTTTTATTTTTACTATCCATTCACAGGGACCATTAATACCAGCCGCATTTACTAATGGCTATCATTAAAGCAACTCGATGATAATGATAATGATGACTAAGATCGCCAATATCAGAAAAAGAGAGAAAATAAGAGAAGAATAAGATGAAGAAAAAAATTAGAAGATGAAAAAAACAACTTTTTCTCTTTTCTTTTCACAAAAAAAAATTAATAAGATAAAAAAGTTATTAATTATAATAAAATAATGAATAATAATAATATAAATAATTAATAATAATATTAATAAATTTTTTTCATAATCTTTTTTTTTCTTAAATAAATCAAATTAAATTCAATGAAAAAATGTTAAAAGTTACAAAGTAAAAAATTTTTATGAAGAAATTAAATGAACATTTGTAAAGTCGACCCGAAATTTCTCATTAAAATAATAAACAAAATTGGTAGAAAATGGCCTGAAATTTTTTCGGGATTATGAGAAGTTTCAGGATGACTTTATAATTGTGAAAAAGAAGACGAAAAATTGAGGAACTCAAAATTTATAAAGTAAATTTGAAGGTTTTATTTAATTTTATTGAATTTAAATGAATTTCAAATAAATTATTAAATTTGTAGGAATTCTCAAGAATGGTTTTTTTAAATAAAATCAGTTGAACTCTTGTTGATCCGACTTTTAAACCTCTCCCAAGAGGTTTATAGTTAATTGAAAATTAATAAATAAAATTGTAGTCGCAAAATTATCAAAAAAAAGTTGTAAAATTTTAATAAAACCTTTAAATTTTACAGACAATAATCAATAATTTCCAAAGGAAATGATGAAGAGTTTGAATTACAGCTGAGGCTCCTCTAAGAGTGAAACAAATCTGACGAGTTTTTGAGGGAAAGTCGATTACTGCGAATAAGTTTTGAGTTTCTTTTGAAAGTTTTCATTATAAAAGGAATTTTTGTGATCATTGAGATAAAGAAATGGGATACAAAAATGTTAAAATTTCTGGAGAAAGATCGCTGCTCATGAAAAATCATCAGATTGAAAGCTAGAAAGATTCAACAGACAAAAAGATCCAACTGCAATTAAACCCGCTTACAAAAAATGCCAAATACATTTAAAATTATGACATTCCCCACCAAAAAAGAGAAGTCACTTAATTTATTCCGTTAAGGTTAAAATATGATTTCAAAAAGCAGTTCCATTGCTTCTTGATTAATTGTACAGCCAAAAAAAAATTTAAAACTTTTTTTTTTACTTGATAAATTACACAACAATTGAAATAAATGAACTTATTTACCATCCATGCTCCCCCCTCGTTCATTACAACACAAAAAAAATCATATCCATTTGAAATAAACAACACAAAACAGCAGCAGCAGTTAAGGAAGCGATAAAGAAATTTTTTGTTCGTCGATGATAAATGGAGAAAGTTTTTAGGAAGCAAAGAGAGTAAAATTAATCAAAGTTGGGGGGTTAAGAATTTATTTATGATCAATATCATCAATTAAAATTTTCATTCAACCCCCTTTTTGTTGTGATGATGTATTGGATGGGGGCCAGAAGTCGCAGGCACCAAGTCGTTAAGATATGTTGAGATTTTTTAAAAAGTCTGTAGTATTTAAGTAAAAAATCTTGGGAGTCAGATGAGAGTTATGATCAATTTGTTAGGGTCTGAGGAGGTTCTGCTCAACTTCATTTAACATTTTTACAATCGCGGTATTTTATGAGCATTTTAAAAATAATTAAAAATTGAATTAAAATCACAAAAATGTTTGAAATACTAGAAAAAATTCTACCCACCCAGATATTTGAAAACTCATCCTGTCAATTCCAATTTTTTCTTATAAAAACCGAAAAATTCAACTTTCGAAAAATTCTTAATAGCAATTAAAATCCAGAAATATCAAAAAGTATTCAATTTCCATTTCCTCCCGCAAATCAATGAGAAGAGAAATTTCTTTGTAATGAAAAATTTCATGATAATAACAATAATAATAATAATAATGATAATAATAAGAAAAGAAAAATTTGTTATCAATTTTCCATCATTCATTCATTCATTGAGTATTGATTTCAAATTAATAATTAGTGAATATTTACCTTTATACTTATTTCACTTTACTTTGTTATTGAATTTCATAAATAAATTACGTCAATAAGTCGAATGAAAGAAGTAAAAACAAAAGATGCAGGCAGTTCCTTAACGTGGACATTTGAGAAGATACAATTTGTGTATTCTTTAAAGTAAGGAAATTTAATTGGCATAAAAATAATCGATTTTATTGAAGTACTTCAAATGATAATTAATGAAGTCCCAAAAAAGGGTTCAAACGGAAATTTCATTCCTTACTCCATCCATTGCTTATTATTATTTTTTTTCTGGTCATGGAAGGGAAAAAAGGGATTCAGTTGAACTTCGCAGTTAATTGTGCTATTTTTCCCCCGTTAGGACAAAGAAAAATGAGATTGCAAGTACAGCAAAGGCACAAAAAAAAAAAAAGAAAATTGTTTGAAGAAGGTTTTCACGATAAAATCGATAATGTGATAATGGAAGTATTGAAGATACTTTAGAAATGTTACAGAAAGCAATTTTTTGTTATTGATAATGGATTTTTTTTTTCTTCACAGGATTAAGGCGAAAAAATTCCATTATTTGTTGTTATTGTGAGTTTTATTCTTTTGGATTAGGTGGATGGGGACTGATTATTAATAAACCCTACGAGCAAATTAATTTTGATCTGACTCTAGCTTGAGATATAAAGCAGTTGAATAGGGTTTTAATTAAAACCTTAAATTCAGTTAACTCTGGAACGTGTAAAGAAGCTAAGTTTGGACTTTGGCCTAGAGCGCCATATAAAAATACTCTGAATGCTAATCATCCTTGAAATGACCCTGTTGTTACATAAACAGCTTCATTCAGATAATTAATAAGCTTCCCAAAATTGCTAGGGTTCCCAATCCAAGTTGTAAAAAGTCCTCAACCTACTTCAAGTTCAATTTCAATTCTTTCTCAATTTAAGTTATATTTCCTGTAAAGAAACAAAGCCTTTCTATCCACAAATTGTTTAAATTACTTCAAAAAAATGTCCTCAAATCTATAAAATCTCTTAAGTGAACTGCAATTGTTAAAAAATAAAAATAAAGCGTCTTTCACATCCGATAAAATTATAATAATTCAAATACTTTATCGTGATGTTAAAAAAATCTATTAAAAAAGTCAAGAAACAATAAAAAGAAGTCATGAGGCCGATAAAAAAAGCAAAAGAAATTTAATTAAAAACTAATTAATACTTATTATGTGGATCGTAAAATAAAGTATTAAAATGAAAAGCATTAAAAATGATGAAAAAAATATCAATGTTTTTTATTTCTGAATAATAAAAAAATGAAATGAAAATTTAGATAAATTAAGAATTATTATATTAGATATTTTCAATACACAACAAAAAAAATGAAACAACAAAAAAGTAATTCACAAAAAAAGAGTTAAGAACATCAATGAATATAAAGAAAAAAATCATTAATTAAAAAGTCAAGAAATGAATTTTCAGGTTGATCAAGTTTTGGTGTCACAATTATAGACGTGCTTAGGTGTTAATAAGTAGCTATGGCTCAAATGTTGATTCCTGAAAATTTCATTTCCTAAACCCCCACCCACACATTAACACACAGACACACATAACATAATTATCATGAAGAAAATTTATTAATTAATTTAAGAGACAAATTATTAAATGTAAATTTAATGAACAAACTTCCGTGCTTTCCGCGTGGAAGTTTATGAAAAAAAAATTTTTTTTGAACTCGAATTTCCTTTTTCAAAAACAACAAAAAATGAATATAAAAATTTTAAAAATAATATAATTAATAAATTAACCTCCGTGTTCACGCGCGGAAGTTCAAAGAAGAAGAAAAAAATCTTTAAAAAGTGAAGACAAAAAATTCTAAAAAACAATTTTTTCGCGAAAAAACACAAATTTATTTAATTTAATTAAAGAAGTTACAATTAAATGTGAATAAATGATGATGAAATCTTGAATTTTTGAATGAAATTTTAGTTTTTTTGCTAAGTTAAATCTTTTTTCGTTAATCTTGATGAAAAAACAATACAAGGGAATGAAACATTTTGATTTTTATCAATTTCTATTTCTGTGTCCCTTTGATGAACTATAGAGGAAAAATTGTAATGGATTTTGGAGGTTAAAGTTGCTTAGATAGGTGCTGAGAATTTTTAATGGAGGGGGTATTTGAAAATAAACTGGAATAAAGGGTATCAAGTTAATTTGTCATTTGAAGAATTTGACGTCTGTTTTCAATTTCTGCAGCTACTAAACTAAGCAAGAGACAGAATAACAAGATTACTAGTTCATGATGCAACTTGGGATCGAATCTCACTCAAGATTCTTTTCTGAAATTTATTTTGGATATTTGTAGCTAGTTTACACAATCCTGCACATGAACCACAACACAAACTTGGCCAGAACGCTGTAAATTCGACCGGTTTTCAAAAAATCAGTATTACATGCAACTAGTTTTAAAAAAATCCAAACTTTCTGAAACTTGATCTAAAATTACTAAAATCATGAAATTCAAACCTAATTGAATTCTTGAAAATACATTTCAAAAAAGGTTTAAAAATACTCTTCCGAAAATCCTGAACCAAAAAGCAGCTTTGACCCTCAAAAAAAAATGAGAAAAATAAATTCAAAATCCACAAAGAGAAACCACAAAAAAAAACAAAGAGAACAAAATTTGTGTGCATGTATGAAATTATGGTTATTATAAATGAAAAATAATTGTTAGCAATGACCTTTTTCCCTCAATTATTTTTTCTTGGAAAATGCGCTTAACGATGAAATGAAAAGAAAAATTAAATAAATTAATAATGAAATGCAAAAAAATGATGAAAAAAAAAACTTTAATAAATGGTGAATAAAGTAAATTAATTAAAAATGAAAAGCGATACGATTTTTATGATAAAAAAAACTCTCCCCTTCACTTGAAAATAATTTTTAAATTAATTTATTGTCTTTATTCGTTTTTTGGCCATTTTTGTGTGGTCCCGCGATCAGTTTATGTACC